TCATTCCTGTCACCAAGCCCATGCTTTCCGACTACTGATTTTTCTTCACTATTCCCAACTTTTGCATTCCAGTCACCCATTATTATCAATGCATCTTGACTGCATGTTCGATCTATCTCCGACTGTAAAAGTTGGTATAAAGAGTTCAGACTGAAATTCCACTCTATTTTAAGCATGTAATGATTAATAGTGACAGGGTCTGTCACTAATTAGTTAATAGTTCAGACCCCAGCAGTTCCTTAGGAGGAAGACGTGGGAGTTTGCTCCTCTAAGGAGCACAGCCATGAAAACCTCAAAAGCAAGCAGTAATTTATCACACAGCAGAAATAAAACTAAACAGACAACAATAACAATTGTAAAGCTCAATTATAAAATCAAGAACATGAAGGCTACCATGGATGACAAACAGAAAAGGGAGAGTCCATTCTTCTGCTTCAGTCATGTGGGGTGAAAAGACATGGGGGTGTACAGAATTTGAGAATAACAAATCCTAATTATTGTTGTGATGTGCTGTGGAGTCAAAATAGATTCACAGCTGACCCTCAGAGGATTTTCAAAGGCTGTGAATCATAAGGGAGGTGAATGCCCATCTTGCTCGTGTGGAGCAGCTGGTGGACTGGGATCATGTGCCTTTGGGTTGGCAGCCCAGCTCTTTACCACTGAACTATCATAGCTCCATAAGTTGTTATTGTTGTCATGTGACATTGAGTCAGAAATGACCTGGAGCTGAGTTTTTAGAAGCAATAAGTCACACAGGAGAATGCCAGTTTTTCTCCAGCAGGGCAGCTGGTAGATTAGAGCCACCTGCCTTCAGGTTGGCAGCACAGCTCCTTACCTCTAGGCAACCAGAGCTCCATAATTATTATCAGTGCCACCCACTCCAGGGGGCTAGAATCCTTACATTTGTATGTAACAAATGAGGAAGAAGCCGAGTATCAAAATGAACTTTTACATATATTAGTTTTCATATTATAACTTGATGAAGAAGATACAAACAACATTATTATCATTTCTTCAGAGCAACAGAGCTTCAGTGCTATTAAGTACTACTAGGAGCAAACAACACTGATTACCAAGCTTTATCAGGTACTGAAACCATCATTTCAAAAGACAGCTTCAGGCTCTGCCCTCAGAGCTGGTGTGTAAGGTCAAAGAATTTGCATTTCTCACAGTTACCAGAGGATGTTGAGGCTTCTTGCTCAGAAAGCACACTTGTTCACTAGTTACTTTCAGAATAAGCTGCTCCAAAACAGCTCATGTTACCAATCTCCATACATTTCAGATTAAGAAACAAAAAAGTCTTAAGTTTAAAAAAATACTTGTTTGGCATCTGAATAAAAGGTATCCAAATAGGCAACGAGGAGGTAAAATTATCCCTCTATGCTGATGACATGATAGTATACTTAGAAAACCCTAAAGACTCAGC